ACAAGCAGAACCCCCCCCAAATTTGAAGTCTGCATAATCAGAAGTTGCTTAGGAAATTCTTGGCAGCCGCGTGCCCGTAAGAACAAAGCTACATCTGTGAACAACAAGCCTGAGGAACACGTTCTGCAAACCCCTAAATTCTATTTCCAGCCTCGAATACAGACATTTACAAGCAATTCTGCCAGTAACCAGCAGTAATTTTAGTGCAATGTTTGTTTCCAAGTTCCTGAAAGCACCTACTCTGTGTAAAGCACTGGGAATAGCAGCTACCATCTTTGCCCTGTCTACAGCAATTACATTTCCCCCCTCTTCTTAAAGCTCAAAAAATGAGGCACAGACTGGATGAAAAGTGAGGAAATTTTTCTGAATTCTTCCCCTTTCAGCATATGGCTGTGTTTCAGTTATTTTTCCAAGCTAGAACAATGTGCTGTACAGGAGACAAGATGATGAATGCTTAATTTTGGGCTCGGTTAAAACAAACAACTTTCTCCAAAAGCACATGCTTTGTTTCAAAGTGACGTTTGGTGAAAGCCTTGGTGTCCATATTATGTTACATCACTGCAGGTCAGCTCTGAGCCTGACACACATGGGAAAAAAGGGAGATTGCCCTTAACCCTCACCTTGCCACAGCCCCTGGGTGCTCTGAATGTTCAGGGTCCTTCTACACCATTTCCTAATCTCTTAATCAAGGCAGTTACAAACTTCAGTGATGCTGAGGATTTTGTTTGTTGAGAATTAATAAAACACAGAAAAACACCCACCAAGATTAACCCAAGAAAGAGTATTTCATAATTTCCTTCACCAAGAAAGCTTTTCTGATGTTGATGTGCCAAAATCCATCATTTTTTTCGTATCAAAACTCTCAAAAGACCCTGTCTGGATCTCTCAGAGGCTTTAGTGTCACATCCCCTCCTTCCCAGCACATTTTACAGGGAAAGACAACTTTAAAAATGTGTTATTTCTGTGATAAATGTTCCCCTGTACTTCCAGGCTCCACTAAATTCACATTTAAATAGATGTTTAAGGAGGTCAGAGTTATTTATGCTTTCAGGGTTGAATTAGGCATCCAAAGCCACATTTTGGCTTCCAGCAAAAAGATGGGAGAGCAGAGGGATGTGCTGGGGTACAGGTGGGCAGCACTTCCCAAAGGGTGGGGATGGAGCCAAGGGAACAACCCCACAGACCATGGGGGAACCACCCCACAGACTCCAACGGTATCACCCCACAAACCACAGGGGAATTCCAGACAAACCTGAACCATAAAACCTTGTCAAGCACTGCTGTCTCCTTGGGAAGCCACAAAAAGACTGAAAAGGCCCCAAATGCACAAATCTAGCCCAGAGTTGCTTGGGCACAGCTCTTACCTGTTCCTGTGGAAAGCCAGTCCCTCCTCCAGCAGCTCCTGGGAGCTCTGTGTCCCTTCCCCATCCCTTTCAGAGGATTAAACCTTCTCATCACCTCCCAAATGAACCCAACTGGGCTGACCCCAGTGCAGTCCTTAACCCCTTCTGCGCCCCTTGGCACCTGCAGCCCCCCCTCAGCAGATTGACATGGACAAAACCTCATTTTTACTTGCCAGTTTGACTGTGGTAGGACTGTGTGGAGGCAACAAAGTGGGAGAAGAGAGCCCAAAAGTTACTTTCAGGTGTAGTCACAATGGCAGTAAAAGCCTTTGCATGGATTTAGTGCCACTGGAATGAAACCTGTGCAGCCGTGTCTCTGGCAGGGCTGCCCCACTCACTGCTGGAAGCACCAAAATCCTTCAGGTGGGGCCCAGTCCTGGGTTCTTGGGATAAAGAGAATTTTTTCTATAACACCTAAGGCTGGTTCTGCTCTGTGACTGGGGTTGTGAATATTGATACAGCCTTTTGTGGCAATAAACAAGGGGTAATAAAGTTATCTAGCCCTGATTACTGAATTTGATGAAGGGTTCCTGAACAGGGCATTTGATTATTATGTGCCTTTTTCACTATGTGAAACAATTGTTAAAAACAATAATTTAACATATATATATATAAAAAGATTGCTTCAGTTCAATTTTACAAGCAAATTTTTCACAAGCAATTCTTTTCCTTCACTTCGTGTTTTAAATGCCATTGTGTCCAGTCTGTCCTCCCCATTCCCTGAGCCCTGTGATGAGAATAAAGGACCTTGCTGTGTGTAAAGGTGAAGGGGCAGTGGTGGATTCTGCATCACCTGCTTGCTCTGGGATGTGATAAAAAAAGAGTTTGGACTTTGTCCCTTTCCGGTTTAAACTCAAATCTCTGGTGCTTCCTGTGCAGGAGGTTCTTTCCTCTGCCCTTCAGCAGGTGGCAGATTTAATAGGAAATGATTAAGTAAAAGGAAAGAGTGGTGATAAGAGGTTTATTCGTCTTCAAGGGTTTTGATAATTTGTTGTCAGAAAATGACACCACTTTAAGGAATTTGTCTGCATCTTCAGCCTCTGTCAGGGCTGCTGCAGAATTTCCTGTTTTTGTGTTCTCAGAACTGCTGAGCTGCTGAAGTTGCCAGTAAATCCCAGGGTGTGTTATCCAGAAGAGGTGGAGTCTGTACAAATCCAGATTCTTCACTGATGTTCTCAAAGAGAATTCAGAGCCATTCCAGCTCCAGCTTCACCCTGGGGTCAGTCCCCACAGCCACAACCCCTCTGTGTTTATCTCCTGCAGGTATTTCTCATCCTTCCATGCAGGAAACCATGCATTTTGTTGCATGAGTGGCTTCAAAGCCAGCTGTGAACATTTACATCTGAAAAGGTATTCAGGTGCTGTTCTGGGGGCAGAGCTGTGAAACACAAACCCTGGAATTCAGCTCCTGCCTCAGTGGGAGCAGACTCAGCTCCTAAAGCCAAGGATCTTAAACTCCCAAGGAGCAAGATCCTGCTCAGACTCCCTGCTCTGAGGGCAGCCACGGGTCTGGAATGGTCAGAAGGGAGAGAGTTTGTGGTTTTTAGGCACTCTCAGAGGAGTTTATGGCTCTGCAGCCCTCCCTGGGAACGCAGGGAATGGGAGCTCAGCTCCTGGGAACAGCAGGATGGACACCGGGCACTGAGAACCTCACTGGGAACCTGCTCTTCCTGAGGGGCAAATAAACCTCTGTGTGCTCTAAGCCAGCATTTCTGACACAAAAATGTGCAATTTTGATCCAGTCCCTTTTATATTTACCAGAGGTTTAAATCCTTCCAAAATGCCCACATGAAACACGCCCTGAGACCCTTGATCAGTGTGATCTGCTCCAAAGATCCTGTGCATAAAACCAGAGTTTATTTGTTGTCAAAGGGCTCTAAATGCAGTGTAGTGCCTTGGCTGCTCTTTTCCTCTGTCCTGAGCTGCAGCCTCGTCCCAAACTTTGATTTCCAAATGACTTGTTCAGCTTTCCTGGGCCCAGACATGAAAACCACACTTTAATGTTTCTTATGGCGTGGAATGTGGAAACTCCTCTGGGCTGGGGATGCTTCTCCTAAGACTTTTCTTCCTCTTGTGTCGGTCTTCCACACATGTGTCTGCTTTGTGGGAAGGCTGAGTGGCTTCTTCAGAGCTGCTGGTGCTGCTGTTGGCAGGAGGAACAAACAAATCCAGGCAGTTCCTGCGTGGAGGCAGTGCCAGCTCTCAGCGTTATTTCGTTTGTACTGCAGTGGGAGCACGGAGGGCACCCAGAGCCACACTCCCTTGGCTTGTTCCCTGCCAAGAGCATTTCCTGATCCCTCAAATCATCCCTTTGCCCAGTGATGGGCTCAGAGCAGGGGGCAGCAGCCCCGAACGCCTGGGAACGCAGAGTGCCCTCAGCACGGGCCTGCTCCCAGAGCAGGAGAGCTGTTCTCCTCCACAGGGGACCTGCTCTGTCCAAATTACAGCATTAATTAACACCCACACAGTCTATAATATAGTAATATATATATTTATATTCCATATTTTCAGCCTGGAGAGGAGAAGCTTTGGAATGACCTCACTGTGGTCTCCCAGTGCCTGAAGGAGCTGCAGGAAAGATGGAGAGGGAGGATTTCCAAGGGATGGAGGGACAGGACCAGGGAATGGCTTCAAACTGACAGGGAGGAGGTTTAGGTGGGATATTGGGCAGGAATTCCTGGTTGTGAGGGTGGGGAGGGGCTGGGATGGGATTCCCAGAGCAGCTGGGGCTGTCCCTGGATCCCTGGCAGTGCCCAAGGCCAGGCTGGATGGGCTGGGAGCAGCTGGGACAGTGGAGCTGTCCCTGCCAGGGCAGGGGTGGCACTGGGTGAGTTTTAATGTCCCTCTGTGGTTCGATGCCAATATAATTGATCATAATCATAATTTCTATTTGGAAATTACTGGAATACTATTCCTGAGGTAACCACAGCAGTATGGGATCACAGATCACACAGCTCTGATCACAGCCCCTGTCTCACATCTGGCACTCCCACACCCCAGTGCAGCCACCGGGGTCCTTTCCCTGTCTGGGCTTTATTCACTTCAATCTCATGTCATGTAGACAAAGCCTCATTTTATTTCTTTCTTTTTGTGGAGAACAACCCCAATTTTCCTTTCATGCTGGGGACAGGCAGGAGTCACTGGTCCTGCCCAGATGGCCAAGGAGGGGGCTGTGGATCAGGCTGGAAAGCTGTGAGCAATCAGCATGGGTTCACTGCCCTTTATATGGCTTGGAAGTGCCAGAGAGGGGGATGGAAAATGCCATTTTAACTAAAGAACCTTTGGGATGTGATCTCTGGGAGCAGAACCAGCAGTGAGTTTTGGTTGGGAACCTGCAGATTTGCAAAAAGCCCACTGATCTGCAGGACCTTTTCACCTCTGTCCTCTCTGAGTAGTTAGAAACATAATTCTGCAGATTTTTTCTGAATTCTCCCTTGCTTTCCAGGTGTAATCTTCACTCAGATAAAGAGAGAATAACATTTATTCCCTCCACAGGCAAGGCCTGTCTGTGCTGATTTATGCCATAATGTCACATCAATCATCAGACCACAGGGATGTAAATAACAAACTTTGTTTGAAAATTGAAGCAGCAACTGATTTTTCTTTTTTCAAAGGATAAGTATTAGTTTATTTAAAGATAAGGATGTCAAAATATACAGTATTGTATCATTAAGATCAGTGTTGATTAAAATGTCAGGCCCCTGGTTCCCTGTACAGGCTAGGATTGAACGAACAGAAATCTTAATTTTCTGTAAAATTTATTAACTGTAGTTATTATGGGAGTCTTGTGAAGCAGAGAGCTGCCTGGGCAGCTTTGATTTTGGTTTTTATTAGGATTAATTACGACTATAAACAAATATCAGGATGAACAAGTAAGTTTCCTATGATCTAAGGACCATTAATTCCCGGCTGGCAGGCACAGCCCGGCGTTAGGGGACGTGGGTGCCCTCTTGTGTCCTATTAGAACTTTAAATAGCTTTTAATTTGTTATCCCACCTCGCCCGGCCAAGAGAGGAGCTGCCTCAATCACGTCAAGCCTTTGCATTTTAGCGTTTTAATTTACATTAATAACCAACAGGAAGCAGGACTTGATCACCACGGATTCTCTCAGGCTGAAGGGTTCAGCTTTGATTTCAGCTCCATTGAACCCCACCAGAAGTGACTCGGCTGTTGTTCCATGGAAGCAGAAGGTTTATCCAAGGGGATTTGTGTTTTTCCTGGTTGCTTTCAAGCTCTCTAAAGCGGAGGATTCTCTGCCCGTGCCTCGCTGCCCTCCTTTGTCACGTCCTTTGTTTTTCTGCCATTTATTGAATTCTCTGCCACCCTCGTGCCTGACTTACTCTCCCCTCTCCACACTTCTTTACATTTTTACATTCTTTACAACCACCCACACCACCTTACATTAAACACATTTCTTGGGGGTCTTTAGAGCTGCTTTCTCCAGGTGAGGAACAAACCTGCCAGTGACAAGCTGCAATGGTACCCCGGTGTTTGCTTCAGCCTCAGGCGTTTGCTGAGAGTCGTGGGAAGGAAAAGGAGGCATTTCTGCTGCCAGGAGCTCCCAGAGAGCTGCTGAGCCTCCCCTCAGCAGCCACAGCTGGGCACTACTTGGATTTCCCAGCAGGGAGGATGGACACGGGATCTGTCTGCACTTCTGCATCCGACATCCTCTTGGAGCCCTGTGGAACAAGAGAGACGCCTTCAGAAACATTTCCAGAATGGTCAGGTCTGGATTGGTGCCTTGGACTTTTGCTACCAGATCTTTCCCATTGATTTCATCTCCCTGCTCCTCTTCATTTGCCCTTTATTTAATATGCACAAATATACGAGCACCATCTGCATCATGAGAACCACACAAAGTTCCTGCCTGTGACTCTGCCTAAATGTGGGGGTTATTTTAATAGAATTGTCTCAATTGGCATGGAAACAATTGCTTTCAGGAGCTGGGCTCACACACCAGAGCCAGGCTGCTGCGTATCTGTAGTACTGGAGTTTTGGCATAACTTTCTCTAAAATTTCCCTGCCCTAAACGCTTCACTGCAAGCCTGCTAGGAGTCCTTCAAGCATGATGAATGGTGTATTATAGCCAGCCCTGCTCTGCTCTAGGTTAAAGGAACATTAAATACTTTTATGCATGACAGGTATTCGACAATGTTTGAGTGATAAAGCTTTTTTTACACTGCAAACCTAATTCTGGGTTTGGAACGGCTCCAAGACACTAATCCAGCTTAGATGAAGGAAATGTATAGCTCTAACTATACCAACTACATTTTTCATTAACTGATAAAAACTTGGCTCTGGTTTAAGGTGCTTGACCCAATTTTGCTGGCCTTGAAGCTGCCAAAACTTCAGCAACACGGACCCACAAGCAGTGTTTGAGGTCACTGTTACCACTGTGGGGTGTCAGTGCTGTTTGTAGCCCAAATCGTGCCTTGCTAAGCAGAAAATCCAGCATGACCAAGCTAAAGGTGACTCTGTGCTTTCCCTAGGATAGGAACCAGGCAGAATAATGTGTGAATTGTCCTTTCCTGGAAACCTGAGTCACCACTTCAGGACGATTCTGTGTTTCACATGGAGAGTGAAAGGTCTTGACTTCCTCATCCCTTTCAGGGAAGTAAAATCAGCAAGGTTTTTACACTGATAAGGCTGCACCTCACTGATCTTCTAATTTTTCACCTTAAAGGACCTAAGGATGAAAAAGAGCAGCCAAAAATCACAATGGACTAAAAAAATCCCGTCTAAAACTGATTGTAACCTTGTGCAGCTCAGCTGGCTGCAGTGGCTTCGCTTCTGATTCCCCTGATGCTGAGTTTTGGAGGGTGCTCTAGAGCAGAATAAAAGGGTTTGGCCATTTATAGGTAGCAACAAATCCAACTTTTATCCATCAACTAATACTAAGTGAGCTACTCATCCCAAATTTACCCAGAAACCCTAAAAGCTTCCACATCAGGTGAAGATTTCCCCCATCACAGGAGCAATGGGGTGTGCCAGCTCCAGCTCCTGTCCGAGCAGGATGAAGTCACTGCCAGACCCAGCTAGGGAATAAACTGATACAATTTGCCTTTCCTCCTGTAAAGGGCTGGAAGGAGGAGAAGGAGAAAAGGCTCTTGGGAGACAATCCCCATTTTGCCTCATTTACCACTCATTTTACATTATTTTCTCACTGCAGTCTCCTGCTGCACCCATTTTCAAGGTGGCTGCTGATTAAAGCAGGAAGATCAGACTGGCTGATGATTCTTGTTGAACTGGAATTTCCAAGCCCGGTGTGAAAGAAAGAACTTTGTTCTGCCTTTTTTAACGGACAAATTCCAGCTCTGCCCTGGGATTCAGGAGCTCAGGTACCACCAGCTCAGGGTTTGTGACAGTGAAGCTGGAACCTGCTGGTTTGAGCAGAGCATTTAAAAGTGCACACACAGCAAAATCGAGAATTTTCTTCCCCAAATTTTGTCCAGGAGAAGCCTGGGTCAGTGCAGCACATACTCTGCTCAGAGTAAATCCAAATACTTTCCATGTGCTGAGCACTCCCAGCTTCTGACAACTGGACTGTGAGTTATTCCAGCTCAGGAAGCAATGTTAATAATCTCTTTTTTCCCCTTTCTTTTTCTTTCTAATCTAATCTTTCAAAGACTCCCTAAATACATTTGCTACATCTTATAAATTAATCTCGTTTACCATAGGAACAACCTTATCTGTGTTCAAAGCCTGCAGCTGGGCAGTGATGCTGTTTGCTTGCGTGAATGGCTCCAGTTGTAGCCAAAATTCCAGCATTTGTAGCCAAAATTTCATCATTTGTAGCCAAAATTTCAGCATTTTTAGCCCAGCTGGGAGCAGAGGCTGGAGCTGCAGTGCTCTAATTTGTATTTCTGCTCTGTGCCATTCCCAGGGGAATCAGGACCCAGGAGAGGGTGATGGTAAAATACAGAACAGGAGCTGTTCAGTGAGCACAGGCTGGGTGAGCTGCTGGATCCCCCCTTCAATGCCTCCTGCTCCCATTTGATCAACAAAAAACTGGATTTTTCTGCTGAGTTGTTCCCAGACAATCGAGCTGTTATCTTGAACTGGCCATGCTGGCATGGGTTGGTGTGCATGATCTAACACTTTCAGATTAATGATTACACCTTCTGATCACCTAGGAGATGAGGAGATTATTTTTTTAGCATTGCAGAATGAGTTTCTTAGCTCTTGGTAATCTTGGGGATATTCAAAGACAGGTAATAATTTTCCATGAGTTTTCCCATACTCAGACCTCATTGCTACATGATTTGCTGCCACTTTGAAGGCACAATAAACTGACCAAATCAACATTACTGTTGTCAAAAATTCCTTTTTTTTAAGAGTTAATGGGATAGGGAAGCTGCAGGAGCACCCTCTATAATCTCTAGAAGATAAGGGACTGCCAAACTGAGGTGAGCAGAAAACAAATAAATCCTACAGAACACCTCTACTTCCTCTACATTGATTCTGGTTCATTCCTCAAATGGTCTTTTTATCTCTCACTATCTCCTGCCTTGATCTAAAAGCTTTTCTTGCCCTTTCAATCTGAGCCACCTTTCCTGCCTCTCTGTGTCTTTCATGAATTTTGAAGGTGTTTCCCCACTCCTTCAGATCTCCCTTTCTGGAAGAATTCTGAATTTGGGTCTCTTGTTAAACTCACGAAGGAGTTTGGATTTTGATCCCCTCCCTTGATTTTGAGCTTGCAGGGATTTTGGTTTGCAGGGATTTTGTTTGGCAGGGATGTGCCAGCTGCACCCCCACGGGGGCAGGCAGGTTCCTCTGGTAAACCAGCCCCATCTCCACTTTCCCTTAATTAACACCCTGTAATTTGTAGGGACTTTGACTCATCCCTGTAGCCAAGGGCTGAACCCCAAACCCAGCGCTGTGGCAACAATTCCAGCTCTCCCTGGGCAATCCCTTCCTCCATCTGCACCCCGAGACCTGAATTTTCCTTCCTTCCCCAAAATCTTGCTGTTCTTTGGCCCAAGTCCTGCTGGTGAAGTTGATGCACAAATCCCCCACGGATCAGCTGGAAAACAGCTAAAAAAGGAAGAGAAATGAACGTACAAGGCCTTTAAAAAAGCCTCCGAGGGACTGCCTCTTCTCTGTCTTCTTGTAGGAGGGTTCCTTGGCGTCTCCACCGTTCTGGATGGAGTCGGGGTCGGCTGCTGGCTGCTCCCGGGGCTCTGGCTGCTCCCTGCCCTTCTGCTTGCCCAGCTCCACTGAGGACTTCTTGTCTTTGGAGCTCTCTTTGCTCCTTTGGCCCCCAGGGTCGCTCTCAGATGGGGCAAGAGGCTTCTCTGTGGCGTTTAAAGTCTGCAGAGGTTTCCAGCAGGGGTTATTTTTAGTGGGGAATAGAAAGAGATCAGAAGGAGATCCATAAATATGTTAGGGGGGATAAAATGTAATTAAAAAAATTGCAAGGCCACCTGGCAGGGAGGAATGGTCCTGCTGCCCAGCAGGTTTTCATTTACAGGGGTTGGGATGAGCTCCTGCAGTGTTGGCTCAGGGAAGGGCTCCCAGGGAGCTGATGGAATTCCATGAGCAAAGACTGAGAGATCAAACCATCCCTGCGTGGAACAAGTTCACTGATGTGTCTGCTGGAGGAGGCAGAGAGCATTGCAGAGTCACTGAAATACCCCCAGTGATTGCACCCCAAGCAGGGAAAGCACCCAAAAAGTGCAAGGAAAAGATTTGAGAGAGGATAAAAAATCAAAAGACCCCATAAAGCAAAGAATGAAAACAAATTGCCTGTGAATGAGCAACACTCCACCCAAAAATTAACAACACAGGGTTTGGCTGTGGAAGGCCAGAACATCATAGAAAATTTCATGTACAAGTGCAAAAGAAGAGATGGGAAATCTTCCAAAAAAGCACAATCACAAAGCACCTGTCTAGAGTAAAGGGGAAGATTCTGGAACTCAGAGAAGTTCAGGATATATTTGAAGTTCACACAAGAAAAATCACAGGATTTTGTCTGCCTGACATCAAAGGCCCCATAGCAAACAAAGGATCAGACAATGAAATTGTCACTGTTTGGGAAGCAGTAAATGAGGGTGCTTTTGCCAGGAAATCTGTTTGCAAATAGAGTTTTCTTTTTTTCTTATTAAAAGAAAAACCCAAAAAACAAACAAACAAACCAACCCACAAAAAACAAACAAACAAAAAACCCCCACCAAATCCATATGGCTTTACTTATTACCATCATTAAAACAGCACAAATTTGCCATGTTGAAAAGCTGGAAATCTCACATCTGCCCTCAGGCCATGGCCCTAGCTTAATGCTGTGTATTTTTCCAGCTTTGGGAATTTTACCGTTAGTCTTGAAATATTTGGTGTTCTTCTGAAGGCCTGGGGTTATGTGCTCACACGCCAGGCTTAGCTTTCATTCAAAACAAAAACATTTTTACATCTCATGATTTCAGAGAAAACCCTGAAAGCAGAAACTCTAGAGGAACAGAATGCATATACACCTCTACCTTTTCTCCCTACCCAATCTTAAAAAAGTTCCATGTTTAAATCACAGAACCCATTTAATACATTCAGACTCAACTCCTCCACTGAGTATGAGCTTTTGGAATTATTTCTTTTTCCAAAGATAGATATAAGTGGGTAAATATTTCCTCACACCTGGATTTCTCTGTTCTTAGATGTAAAAAATCCAGTCAGCAGCTTGTCTTTGTGCAGGAGAACATGAAGGAGGGGATCAGCAGAGTTATAATTCATCAAAGCAGATTCAGTGGGGTCAGAGGAGAGCAGAGGGGAGGTCTGGGGCTGCACAGACACCACACACACCCCACCTGTGTCCTGGCCACCTAAACTGTGTCCTGGCCACCCCACCTGTGTCCTGGCCACCCCACCTGTGTCCTGGCCACCTAAACTCTGTCCTGGCCACCCCACCTGTGTCCTGGCCACCCCACCTGTGTCCTGGCCACCCCACCTGGGAAAGGACACTTGGCAGTGCCCAGGGGATGCAGGAGCTCTCCCAGCACAAGGAATTTGATGTTGTCTCTGCTCAGTTAAACTCTGGGAGCTCTGAGCTGCTGCCCCAGCTGTTGGTTTCTCACTGGAATTTGCCTCAGCTGACCTTTGAAGTGATTCTTTGGTGAAATTGTAAACGTTCACCTTCTCTGCAGCACCAACCACAGCTCTGGGACCGAGCCCAGACACAGCTGAGTTCAAAGGGGCCAGAAGAGCCTGGAACCCTCAGAAACACTCTGTGAAATCTGTGGCTTTGCTCTGTGGGTGTAAAATTAGAGTTTCCCTCCCCACACGTGCCCGAGACTGCGCTGCAGCCAGAGCAGAACCATCCCCATGGCTGAGAGCAGGTGGGGCCTTTGATGAAAGGCAGACAAAACACGTTTTAAAAAATATTCATAATGCATTTTCCAGGCAAAAAAAAGAACAACCAACTCAAGCCCTATCAGATAATCTCTTTGAGGTGTTTCATATTAACCTTGAAAGGCAGGAAATGGGCATATTTGATATTGACGGGAGCAGCTCAGGAAATGCGGAGTGAGGCCTATGAATAATGAAAGATGTTAATGCTCCTTATTCCAAGGGAGAGCTGCTCCTGGCAGTTTGCTTTGCCTCCCTCGACATTAGCACTGCACTGAAATAAAGAAAGAAAAATGGACAGCATTTTCCTCCTTATCTCACAGGAGACCTTGGTCCAAGGCTGATTTTTAAGTGCAGGGTTTTTGGTGCTGAAATTTCTGGAGGGCGCAGAGGGGCAGGGATGGGAAGGGGAGAAGAATCACAGCATTCCAGAGACACTGCAGCATAACTGAAGGAACTCCTTTCAAAGAAATCCCCAAAAAAGGAAGAAGTCAGCAGCAGATCCAGTTTTCCTTGGGCTCCTCTGTGGAATAAAACTGTTCTACTTTACACCAGGGCAAGGGAGAGGAGGAAGAACAATAAACTGATTTACAAAAATGGAAGGAAGCTGGCTGCTCTTTAAAACAATAAAAGAGATCCAGGGCTGAAACTTCTGGTGTCTTACCCAGATCACTTCACAAAACCCCTGTATGAAATAAGGATTTAGTGTCACAAGACAAGGCCCTTCTATATTTAGGATGTTTTTAGAGACATAATTCACAAAAATTAACCTTGGTGTCATCAGATGTTGTGAAAATAAGAAGAGAGAGATATAATTTTACAGCTATTTGAAACAGGAAATTCTGAAATGTCAGTTTTGAATGCAGCTTCAGATTTGCTCTTAAAGGAAACTGCTTATACACAGAACCTTGTTTTATCTCTCATTGCTGAGAGATGAATTCTTCTGGATATCTTCACTTGCAGCAGATCAGGGTTTGGCTCTCAAATTAACAGAATTTGTGTTTCTAATGAAAATATGTTTTTTTTTCTGAAGCATTTTAAAAGCCATCAAGAATAGAATGCAAATACCACACCCGAAGGTTGAGTTTAGATTTTATGAACACAGAACGAAGGAAACAAAAACAGATCAGGAAACAAATATTTTCATGGCTTTTGTTACACTGCAGTGAACACTTTTCAGTCTCACTTTCATTTCTCTTCTTTAGAGTTTCCACCTAAATAATTCTTTCCTCGGAAGACAAGTAAATCAACAAAGTAAAAATAATTCTGTGTGTATTTAGTTCCACTGCCTGAGTACTTGCAGAAAGTCAAAAAGCAGCAAAAGAGGAAGAAGACTGGCCATAAACACACTAATTATTTTAAGAAAAGGAACATATCCGGAAAAAGATTTTTTTTTAAAAAAAAAGAAAAGATGCTGACTCTTTAAAATCTTGTTTAATGTTATGAATAGATAAAAGAATCAGATAAGTTGTGTGTAAATATGTGAAGCTCAGTGAGTGCAGCACTTTTCTCTCAGTGACTTTTACATTTCAAGAGGTTGAGCTGTGTGGAAGGTGACAGGAATCCACCACCAGAGGATGAAAAATCCAGGCCAAAAAAGAAAAAATCCACTTACGTGGTGTCTGGGGCTGGGACCATCTCCCTCTTCTGAACTGGGGGTCCCTCCATCACCTTTGACTGACTAAAATAACAAAGGATCCTGTTTGAGGCATTCAGTCAGGATGAAAACTCACAGGAATTAAAGTTTGAAGGAATTTCAGCAACTCCACTTTGGAAATATCCCCATCTCCAGGGTGGATTTTGCTGGTTCTGTTCTGTGGATTGTCTCTTCCCAGGCAGGTTTCCCATCAAGGAAAGCAGGGATCATTTCAGCCACTAAAGAAGAACCTGCTGTCAGCCCTGCTGCTGGTATTTTCTAGAAAGAGCTTTTCCTTGCATTTCAGAGCCAAATCTGTCCTACAAGACCTAGTGGGACTTGCTCTCTATTTCTCCACCCTACTAAATGCATGTGCTGTGAATAATTAAAGCCCACTCAGCTTTAGAAAGATGTTTTCATATTTAATTTTGATTTTTGCTTTCCAGTTTATTCCTGCAGTCCTTAAATCTCCGAATAATAATTCTCCTTGGTTCTCACTCTTCCCAGCCAGGACAATCCAAGCAGAGCCTGAGGCTGCAGCACTGGAAGGTCACTCAGAGCAAATCTTGACTCTGAAATATCTTTTTAAGGTAAAATCCCATTTCCATCTAGATTTAAAAATGAGAAACCCCATTTGACCAAACTGAGTAAATAGTACAAGCTTTGTGAGAATTGGCTTAAGCTTAAGTTACAATTAGTGCTACAAAAGAGACAACAGGAATGAGCATTTGTGTTTAAAAATGTGTTGGAGGGTTCAGGGTGTTCTCCTGGGTGCTACAGAAACCACAGAGCTCAGCAGCAAAGCGTAAAACAAACTGCAGGATTTCAGAGTGCCCAAATTTAAATGTCATTTTTCATTGCAGGAGTTCAATGAAAACAATGAAAGGATGTGACTTTTGTTCTAAATTTATCTCAGGCGGAATTGTGGTTTGCTGCAGCTCTGCGTTTGTAACGTGAGGGACAACAGCACCAGCCTGATCCCACAGATGGGGTTACTGCAACACAGAGCCTGATTTTCCTATGAAACCACAAAAATCAATACGTGGCAGCAGCAGGAGAGAAAATTAAACCACTCCATGACAATTGATGGCTTTTGTGGGGAAAATGCTGTCCCTGGAAGGTGCCACTGCTGAGGCTGGTGTGTGTTTGTGCTGGTGGAGCTTTATCTGCACGGAGGAGTGTGATCTGTGCTGGGGACAAACCCATCCAGAGTGCAGAAGATGGGCTGTGATAAGATTTACTCTGCATTTGTGTTTTAGCAGGTCCTCAAATGCATTTAGAAAACAAAAAAATTCTGCTCTAACAGCAATCAGTGTTACCTTTCCCCCTATAAACACTCCAAAGCCAGATAAAAACAGTCCTGCTTTAGCCAGCCTCTCTAACCCACCTGGTATTTTTATCATTATTACTATTTTTAACCAAAAATAACAGAGCAAAGACCTTGAGGTCTAGACAAAGCTCCCTCTTGCTGCCAGTGAGACAAGGACAAAACAACCCCAAGGATTTCTCTCCAGAGCACTGCTGACCTCTTATCCTTGCCTCTGGGCACTTGGGCTCGCTGCTGGCCAAAGCTTCCCAAAAAGTTTTCTGCAGCAAGCAGGGTGGATTGGGATGTTTGGAAATGGAGGAGGATGGGAACAGCCAGCAGTACCCTGCTACCTTTTCATGAAGAGTTGTGACAACACAAAATGGTTATTCTCGATTCTAAATGCTATTTATTGCCTAAAACTTAGATTATGTTGGGAAGAAGGGCAGCAAAGGGACTGCAGATGGTTTGGGAACAATTTTCCTCATTCCTCAGGTAAAGGATTCCTCAGGTTCCTCAGAATTCCTCAGGCAAAGGATTCAATGCCCAAACAGGCAGATTTTTTTTTAAAAATAAATTTCTTAGGACCAAATTCAGTTCTCTGCTGCAGTTTTCTGGAGGGAATTTCTGCAAAAACATTTGGTCCCAGCAGGATCCCAGAGCCAAGAACTGCAAAAACATTTGGTCCCAGCAGGATCCCAGAGCCAAGAAGTTCTAAGCAAGCAGAAAGGAGCTCATTTGAGAAAGTTCAGATTTCACAGGCTATTGTAATTCAGCACATTTGTGTAAAAGGAAGCAGGATCAGATTCTACTTTGTGCCTTTCCTTTTTCCCACCTGATGGAGCTTTGCAGGAGTGACTCCCTCCTTTCCTTTCACCTGCCAGTTTACCCAACCTACCTAAACTGCCAGGAAAAGTTGTGCCACTAAGAACACAACTCCCTGGAGCCAGCACAGGACAGGACACAGCACAGGGAGGTCCGACAGTGCCGTGGCCAGCGGGAGATGGATTTGGAGGAGATGGGATCCTCCGGGAGCATCCCACCGGGGGATGCGGGTTGTGACGCGGAGCATCCTCGGTGTGGCGACCCTTGGGGTTCCCTGGGAGGGGAAAGGGCCAGCGGAGCCCTGGGGCCGTTCCGGGAGGAGCCGCGAGAGGGAGATGCAGGACGGGGAATGCGCGGGGGGATGCGGGCAGAAATCCCAGCCGCGCATCCCCAGCGCCGCTCATCCACCCCGAGCATCCCTGCGCCCTCCTCCCAAAGGCAAAGTGCTTTCCAAGCCTCGCCCGAGCTCTCGGAGCTTCAGAAGGGATCAACTGCTCTTACCAGCTTAAAAAACTTCCTCAGGTTTGCTTTGGGTGTTTTGCTCTCCGCCGCTCGCGGTTTCAGCTCGGAGCTCTCGGAGCTCTTGCTCTCGTCCCTGTCGGGAGCCTCCAGAGCTGCCTCTGCCTTCTCATTGCTCATGGCCTCTGCTTCTTCCGACGAGTTCTGTGGTTGGGAAACAAAGTGGGAAAAACATCCACGCTCAATCCCTGAGGTGTTGGTTGATTTTTAAAAATTTTACAATCAAACAGGGCATAAAAGCATCTTCAGCTTCACTGTTCTCCTTGTGTTGCTTCAGGATTTGATTAATCCCAATTAAAAATGAGGTGATAAATGTTAGAATCCCACCAGTTGATATGAATGAAAGAAATTCCCTTCCTTGAGTTGCAGTTCCCAAGCACAAGAATCGAGTTTAGATTACAATGTAAAAAGAATGAACGTGAAATTACACACAGCAATGTCCTGAGGAGATGAGGCCAAAGTAAATCCAGTAAATAGGAGAAAAATCATACTCAGGAATTTGAACTTCAAAGCAGAATTAGGATTCTTTAAAACACTAATGGACACTATTAACTGCTGAAACCTGGCCTTGGACACTTCCAGAGATGGGGCAGCCACAGCTTCTCTGGAATCTATGTCAGGACCTCACCTCCTGAGGTGATTCCAGGGAAGAATTCCTTCCCAATATCCCAAATAAACCTCCTCTGTGTCAGTCTGAAGTCATTCCCCCTGTCCTGCCACTTGTTTCTTCTTATTTGTCACCACATTCCTTTATTTGGACTCTGTCACTTTTACAGTGAATGGTGATATTTTCCATTCCCCTTTACTGCAGTTTTTCTGTGTGCTGTTGTCATTTCCCCTTCTGAGCAAATAAAATCCCAATTTATTTAGTCCTTCATCCAGAAGCCATCCAATATATTTACTCATTTTAGTTTTGTTATTACACCTTTTCGTTCTGTCATATTTTTAGGTTGCAGGGAGCTCCACATTCAGGAAGGGGACTCACCATGGACTCCTACAGCAGCAGGAGAGATTTTGTTTTGTTCCTGACTCCTCTTTTGTGGAAGAAACAACATTTTGGGGGTGAGGCAGCAGGGAGAAGAATGATGAGGGAATAAATATTCCTTATCCCCTGCTGCCTGAGATGGCTGCAGCACATCCCACTTCCCTGTGGAATTGTAGATTTAATTTATATTTATGAACAGCTTCGAGATAATCAATCTATAGTAATTTTACTCTGGATCTCTGCCTATTCCCACATCCATATCATCAATTCCCCATCTATTTGCTGGAAGGAAATGATTCAGAGCAGAGTGGAAACAGTGGCTCAGTTAAGCAGAGCTCAGCTCCTGGGATCTCATCACTCTGAGGGGGAAGGTTGGGATCACGCTGCTGCATCCCAAAGGAGTTTTGTCTCTGCACTGGAATTGGTGGCACCAAAGCAGCAAAAGCACCCTGGGACCAAATGCCAGCCTCCAAAAAGCACTGTCCAGCTAAATGAGGGCTAGTCAGCTATTCAGAGATTGACTTGTTTAAAGTACCAGGGATTTTTTTGCACATTTCTTCAGGAAATTCTTCTGCAGGACAAGGGGGAATGGCTTCACACTGAAAGAAGGGAAATTTAGGTTGGATATACAGAAGAAATTCCTCCCTGTGAGGGTGCTGAGGGCCTGGCAGGCTTTCTCAGGGAAGTTGTGGCTGTCCCTGATCCCTGGCAGTGCCCAAGGCCAGGCTGGATGTGCTGGGAGCAGCTGGGACAGTGGAAGGTGCCATGGCAGGGGTGGCACTGGATGGGATTTAAGGTCCTTCCAACCCAAACCACTCTGGGATTCCATGTTCTGCTTCACCCAGTAATTAACCAGTCTGCTGTTTGCACATCAGTAAAATGTGCATGATTTTTCCTGCAGTTGCATGCCAAAAGTCGTTTAAAATTCAAGGTTTTTAAGCAAACACATCTGCTTTTAAAGACAGATCCCAGAGCAGTCGAAATAACTCTGCCTTGATCACCTTCCACCCTGGCCTGGCCTGCTTTGATCAGATAAATGTGAAGCATCATGTTTCTCTGCCCTGATCAGATATCTACGAGGCCTTCAAAGCAGCTTTCCAACACAAATATTGGAAATTGCCTGCTGTAATTCCCTATTAGTATTCCTTTGGAAAAAAAAAAAAAAAGAAAAAAGAAAACTGCTGGCACAGCAAATATTTGTGTAACACTTCCAAAAATTCTCATGAAAACTGATCAGGAAATGGGGCAAATACAAAGTGGCTCCCAGCTGAGAGGCTGAATAAGGAATTTTTCATTTTCCTTTTCCATATTTATTCATCTGCAGGCAGAGCAGCAGCATTAACAGCCACGTGTTGACAGGCACTTCATTAGCTGCACTCTGAAGTGAAAGCTCATCAGAAGATGGATATTTAAGAGAGGAAAGAGGAGCTGGAGATGAATCCTGGATCTATTGAGTGCTGTGGTTGCTGTTTGTGAGTTCAAAAGCAAAGCTGTTCCAGACTCTGAATTCTCCACCTATTTGAGTTTGGATTCTCTGTCCTAGTAAAAGGATAGTGCATTAAATGTGCCAGAAAAAGACAAATTCACTGCAGAATACCCCCAGAATCTTCAAACCAAGCTGACTTTGAGGCCAACCTGTTGCCTTTCAGTTTTTTTGTACATCTCTCTTAATTTTATTTAGTTTCAAGCTGACTGGGTCACCAAGGTCTTTCAACAAAAGAAATATAAAATATTATTCTCATCCAAGAAAACTCAGTAAAGCCACATCAGCCTTTTACAGGCAAAGGATTCAATGCCCAAACAGGCAGATTTTTTTTAAAAAATAAATTTCTTAGGACCAAATTCAGTTCTCTGCTGCAGTTTTCTGGAGGGAATTTCTGCAAAAACATTTGGTCCCAGCAGGATCCCAGAGCCAAGAAGTTCTAAGCAAGCAGAAAGGAGCTCATTTGAGAAAGTTCAGATTTCACAGGCTATTGTAATTCAGCACATTTGTGTAAAAGCTTTAATCAGCCCTTAGGATTTTTGTATGCAACAAAATCTGCTTGGAGTTGTGGAGAATTCCCTACAAAACGATCTCTCCCCTGACATAAAGAGCTGAGGGTGATGCAGGAGGAATTAAACCCAGCATTATCAGCTAATTATCACCATCAGCACTGAAAGACAATTTTGGTCGAGGTTTATGGCCTGAGGGGTTGGAGACCTCAGAACTGAAGACTTTTACAGGGTGAGAGGTGCTCAGGGCAGGTACCAAATCCAATTTTAACTCTGAGAAGTTTCCCTTCTTGCATGTTTTTTTCTCTCTTTTAAAAAGATCTTGATACTTCATTATGAAATGACTGAATTCAGATCAGATTTATTGCTGGTTTACACTGAAACTCCACACAGCAGCCTGCCAGAAAGCCTCTTCTTTCCCTTATTTCATCCTGATGTTCAGCACACATCCTGCTTCCCAGCTCTGCTTTCAAATAAGCCAGAGTTCTCAGAGGAGGAGCAATTCTGTAGCAATAACAGCTACAGAAAAAATCTCCCTCTCCCTCTTCTTCCCAACTTTCCCCTCATTCCAAGCACCTGATTTACTCAGTTCCCCGGGAAATTCAGTCCCAAGTGGCAAATGTTTGAAGCTTTGATTATTTTCAAGCATGTTTACGCTGTAAAATAGATATTTACTCTGTAAATATCTAAACACCTTCATTTTTTAAACATAAATAAAATATCCAAACTGCATCTCCAGTGGGAAAACACAGCTAAAGAAGCTGCAGGAGCAGCAGCCACTCAAAGGCATCTGGGTGTTTGGAAGCAGCAAATTTCTGGGATTTGAGCTTGAGCAGAAGCCCAGAAATGCAGTTATTCAACATCCAGTGACTCAGTACAGTTTCATACAGCCCTTCTATGAAATGAAATTAAGAACGAATAAACTTCAGCCTGTAAGCCATAAGGATCATGGAAACAGGAACTGTGGTTTTAGAGTTAGCCTTAATTTTAGTTAAAATCTTTATTTAACCTGAGGAACAATGTTCTCTTCCCAAACAATTGAGACCCCAAAGTTAAAGCCTGATCTGCTCTGTCACAGAACATTTTCTGCTGGGTAAGAACAGACCCACCTGATCCCAGCTCTTCAGACATTTACAGCAAAGAAATGAAAGGTTTGAGCACTTTATCAGTGATAAATTTTAGTAAAGAACACTGTGATCTCTGGGGGATATTTAACAGAAGCATTGAACTGAGAGAGGATAACGTTCCTGATTCCATAAAAACAAGAAAAATACCACAGATCAGTTCATGCCCCTGATGTTTAACATGGGAGCTGCTGCCCGTGGTGGGTTTGGCTGGTTTGCTGCACCTTGGAATGAACTCCAAGCTCTGCAGGGAGCTGCCCAGCTCCCATATCCAGTACCTTTTTCCAGAAGAGCTTGCTCAGGGGCAGAGGAGTGGCCGAGCCCTTGTCCTTGGTGGCCTCTCGGGGGGTTTCAGTGCTCACTCCCTGCGCAGGGGTCGCGGCCTCCGGAGCTTTCGGGTTCTGCTTGGCCGGTGGCTCTTGGGAGGGAGGGACATTTCTGTCTGCTTTTACACAGGTGACAGGAGGCTGCTCAGGGCTCTGGCAATGAAAAGGACATGGATATTGTGGAGAACAAATCCAGCACGCTCAGGCATCACCTGGGGCAGGTGAGCACCACCTCTCCCCACTCAGCTGCATCCCTGCCCTTCCATCCCTGCTTCCTTCAGCAGAGGAAGCAAAACACAGCAAACTCAGCACCCTGATAAAGAAATTAAACCACTTAGAGACTGAAAATGCCAGCAAGAATCCCCCTTTTCCTGCACTGCACAGATAATTCAACCCTCCTACTCACTTTGGTGTTGGTTGTCTGCTGGGTTTCTTTCGCAGCCTGAAGGGAAACAAAACACAAAGATGAGTCTGTCTAAGGCAACGGCAGAGCTGCAGTTCCACAGGCCAGGAATTGTCTGTGTCACCGATTATTTTCTTTTTAGTGAATGTGTGTGCAAGTCCTGGCTCCTGCAGCCATGGAAACTGATCCCTGGAAGAGTGGAGGGAATGCCAGGTCCCCTCCTTGGTGCTGCACCAGCCTGGTGCTGCATTTTTGTGCTTGTTCTTTAAAAATATGCAGATTTTTATATGCATTCCCATAGTTACATTCCCATTCAGCTCAGGTAAATCGTTACAGAGAATTGAAAGGTATTAATAGATTTTTCTGTCTGCAGCTTCCAGTGCTCACGGACACCAGAGCTGGGTGTTTTCCATGGGAATCCTGCACCATCCTCAGGGATGTGCTCCCATCACCTTCCAGCAGGAGGCTTGGATTTCTGGCGTCCAAAACACAGGCAGCACACGAAATCCTGGAAAGCCAGGGCAGGGAGCAGCCCTGCATTTGGAATTTGGCCAGAGCTGCAGCTCTGCAGGTGCTGGAGGTTGGTTCCACCCATCCTCTCATAGCTTTGGCCATGAGGTGGGATTTCCTTTTGTACAAACATTCAGTGACGGGGCTCCCGATTTCATCAGAACACGCAAACCCAGGAGGATCCCGTTAAATTCCTCCTTTGCCAGGGGTGTTCCCCTGCTTCTCTCACCCCTCACCCAGCAGGGCTCACACTGAAGAATTACCTGAACTGTACCAAAAAAATCACCCAGCCGCAGGCTGAGGCTGCAGCAGCCTGGCACAGCCTTGGGGCAGCTCCCCCAGAACAGGGGAGAGATTCTGCACAGGAATCACTTTGCAGGAGCCAAGAATTGGGGTTTTTTTTTTTTTGTGGTCAGCCCTGACAAACAACATCCAGAAGGGTGAGGATGCCACGGGCTGGCCTCAGCGTTAGTGCTGGAAGTGAGGGATTCACCCTTCTCTTCCAAGGGAAAATTCCATAAATCAGCACGGTGATACTGCAAAATTAGCATGGAATGAGGGACAAACATGCATGGGTGGGAAGAGCATCACAAGCTGCTTTAAAGTTAGGATTTTGTAACACAGGAGCCTGAAAAACAATGTTCCTGTTAACTCCCAGCCAACCCCAGCTGGATTGAGGCAGAGAAGTGTATTTTGGACATGCAGAGAAAGCACTGTCAGAGGAGACAGTGAGGTGTTTAACCACAAATATATCTATTAAAATGATCATTTCAAATTAAGGAATTGGTTATCTATCCATCCAGTTCATACAGCATGGAAAGCATTGCAAATTTAAAGATATAAACTATATTTTTCATTTTTTTTTACTAGAATTGGTAACTCCAGGGCCTGCTTGTCACATCCCTGCTCTGAGCTGAATTCCCACTTTCAATCAGCTTTACAAGCAAATCGTTGGCACCATTTTAATCCTTCTCCTTGATTTCTAAAAGGTCATAAATGATATCTCAGTTCCTGCTTCTGTATTTTGGATGTGGAAAGAAAACAGTGAAGAAAGAAAAAGCTATTTTAAAAGTAATATTTTATAAGAAAGATTTTACTGGTGTAAAAACTTATTGCTCTTGCATTCCTTCAAGGGAAGTGTTGTCATTCCAGACAAAAAGCTCTTTAAACTTTCATTAAATATTCCAGGGAATTTTCTCCCTACAACTTATTGCAAGATTAATTGCTGAATCTTAAAAAATGCCAGCCAGGTTTGGTTTTTATCAGGAAGCCTTAACTCATTATGAACAAGTAATTAATATTTTAATTTTATTAAGAAATAAAGCTGAGATCTCAAATTTAAGTTTTTGGCAAGAACTGCACACTTTAATTCATTTGGAATCTTATTATTCCTTCAGCAATATGCAGATGACTTTTTTTTTCTCAAAAGTGAGATAGTGGAAAGAACATTCTTGGTTTTAAAATGTATTAAAGAATGGCCTATGCCCTTGATTATAAAGCCCCCTACTCACCAGAAATTCCACGTGGGTGTCTGGAGGGAGAATGAAATATTAATTAGGTTCCTCCCCCACTGGAAGGGTCTCTGCTTCTGCATTCTCTGGCCTGAAAAGCTGCAATTCTCTGCTTCCCTGCCATGATTATCTTCAGAGAGTGCAGAAACCCCCAAATATAGAGTTTGAGACCGAAAGGTTTTGGTGATTTTTGGGTTTCATTATTGTTCTCTAAATTTGCTTGACTGTGCATTTTAAGCACTTTAAAGTACCCATCAAACCCAGATGTTTTTCTACTTCAAACTAGGACTAAAATAAATTAATTTGCTTTTTTTGCAGGGATCCCTATTTCTGCAGGAAATTCCATATTCCAGCCTCCTCTGTACCGTACCAGATGCCCCAAAACACCAATTTTAGCCAAGTTCTGGAGCACATTAATGACATAAAACCCAACTGTGGCTGGGCTGAGCTCCCAAAGCTCTGTGGTTTCAGGCTCTCTTCACCTCTACACAATTCATTGTTTGTCAGCACCTCTGATTTTATTTTGGTTTTGAGTGGCCAGGGAGGGTTTAGTCCATGTTAGTAACCAGGCAGGAACTGGTACAGGAATAGTTATAGGAATTGGTATAGGAATTGCTCCAGGAATTGTTATAGGAATTGCTCCAGGAATTGCTCCAGAACCCTGAGCTCACAGAGGGCCCAAGGAGAGGAACTCTGCAGCTCAGGATGGTTTCCATCCCCAGCACAGAAATGCTCCCCCAGGGATTTCTGGAGCTCTGCACATCTGGCCAGATGTTGGGAGAGAACTGCTCTCTCTCTCTCTGCCAGGAGCCAGCTGTGATTTCTCAGGGTTCTGCTCCTCCTGGAGCTTCATACCGACCTTGTGCCTAAAGAGTTTGCTAAAGGTGCTGTGGCCCAGCTTGGGGCTCTCTGCCTTCTTTTTCTTGGCTCCTTTGGAGGGGGATTCTGCCGCTGCCTTCGGGCCCAGCTGCCCCCCTGGGCCCTTCTCTGCCTTGGAGCCCTTGTGCACAACAGCAGGTGTAGGTGAGTTTATTGCAGATATTTTCTTTATCAAAGACATTATTCCATCACTCACACACATGGGATTAAAGGAAAACATTCCCTCTTAGCCCTGGACAAATTGCTTTTTTTTCCCTGAGTGATTTCTCAGCTCTCCTCAGATCTTCTTTCACATGAGCAGCAAAATAAAAGCCAAGGGAATCCAACCGATTCCAAATTAAACCACAACTTTCCCTCTATGATCTCCACTAAACTGAAACCTAATCCCACAAATTTCTGTCTTTTCAAGTACTGAAGAAGCAATTTAGGATTTATAATTTTAAAACAGGCAAATATATAAATGTTTGGAAGAACCTTCAGTCTTTTTATTGCAGAATAATAGGGACTTTAAAATGTTTTATATAAGGTATTATTTAGGAAAAGGGCAGCATGAATATTCATGATATACACTGCCTAAAATATTTCAAGCTTGCATTAATGTCCTTGAAATTAATTAATTGATTGTTCAAGGTCTCAGGCTTTAAAGCAGTAAGATGCCTTTGGTTACCTGGCACAGAGGAGGATGAAGGATTATTCCTTCCTTACTCCCACAGGAAAGCTGACCCTTTTTCCTGCAAAATCCTCACAATTCCCAAACACAGAGTGACACAGGAGCAGCTCGGGGTCTGCCACAGGAGGGCCAGGGCAGTGATATAGGGTAGACCTTGCCCAAATAACCTCTTGGTTTGTAGGATCTGCCCGAGGAGGTGGAGTGGAGACAGCTGAAGGGACAGGCAGCGAGGGACAGCCAGTGAGGGACAGCCACACACCCCAAGGGACAGCCACCCCAAGGGACAGCCACCCTGCAGGTGTGCCCAGCTGCTGGCAGCACACGTGGCCCAGCAGCTGCTCAGAGCCTGATCCTCCAAACCCAGAAGGTTCCGTCCCCCCAGAAGGTTCTGGGGCACTGCCCGGGCTCCCCAGGGGTTGTTCCCTGCTCCAAAACCTTCCAGCGCTCCAGGAGCGCTTGGACAACGCTCTTGGTGGGATTGCTGGGGGTCTGTGCAGGGCCAGGCCTTGGATGATCCTTGGGATCCCTTCCAGCTCCAGGATATTCCATGATTCTATGATTTGAAGGCACAGCAGCCACTCAACAGCCCCACGGCACTTGGGAAAACTTCACCCGGTTGTTTATCACCTAATTTTGTTTTATTTTCTATTTTATATCATTATTATTTTCTAATTTTCTAACTTATTATTTTTTAATTTTTCTATTTTATTACCCTAATTTATCAGCTTTACCTTTAACACATTTGAGTTGTTTTTTGGGAAATAATAATAATAATAAAAAAGACCATTATTTCCTATCAGACAAAAAAATCTGCAGTTTTTCTACCTGGAAGCTGATAAATTAACCTCCTATAGATATTTCCCCTTTATTAAAGTAGAAATGCCATATCAGACAAAGGAATTCCCAGTAAAAGAGAACTCCCACTTAATCTCCTGTAAGGAGTTTGCATATCCTGCGAGTCACCTGGATTTGTTTGCCCTGCCAGGTGTGCCAGCAAACCAAACCCACCCAGAATATTCTGTCCAAGTTACAGCAGCAGTCACCTGGCACAGGTGACACAGGCATGGGAACGGGGTGCTTTCCATCCAAGCAGGATTGGGCACCACCTCTGGGAAGAACTGCAGGTTTCCCTGAGCCAAGGAACTTTAATAATTGTATTTTCTGCATAGCTTGGAAGACCTTTACCCTATCTGATGATTTTCAGAGTTATATGGAATTACTGAGAATAATTTTCAGAGTTATTCAGAATTAAATCTCCCAAGCTTGCTGCAAAGGTTAATCATTGAATGGGACAAAAGAATAAAAAAATAGGAGAAAACCCCAAACTGTTGTGGGTTTGGCTAATATCTACATGGACAAAATACTTGCATTTTTAGGGTGTAATTCCTTGTTTCTTAAAGTTATTTCGAGGCACAGGGAAAACAGTTCTATGAGCAAATGGAATTTTTTTTCAGACTCAGTTTTCACTGAAATTTTACATCAAGGACGAGTCAGAGAAATAACCAAAAGTGTCACAAATCAGCACCAAGCTTACAGAAAACACAACAGATTTTGATTGCAACAGATGATATTAAGAATTGCGCTGTTTGGTCTCTTCCTTTTCAATTTATCCAGGGGAAAAATATTTGAAATTACTTCAAATGATAACATCAGTTGGGGAAAAAACAGCAAATAAAGAGGAAATAAATAAAATTTATATTTAAATAAAGAGGAAATCTCTGTGTGAAAAACACCTAATGACCACTGAACAAGGAACTGCCTACCTTGTCTTCAGAATCACTTTTGGCTTCAGCTTTGCTTGGGGAGACCTTAAAAGAATTGGAGAAGAAAGAGTCACTCAACCCAGCCTTTCAAAAAGATGAGTTTGAAATCAGCAGGTTTTATTTGCACAAAGGGAAAACACAAATATTGCTTGTCTCAAGCAGGAAAATTGATAATGCAAATATTTCTTGAGAATAACATAAAGGCTAAAATGAAAAACGCCTGGATCGAATATTTACTATTTGTGATTATAATAAATTTAAAAAATGAACTTTTAGAGGTGGTACAAAAGGAATATCAAGCAGAAAATCTTTGAGACAGGTGAGTATCTGTGTAGAAGTGAAGTTTGAAGAGCAGGTGGCACTCACCATTCCTCATCCCTCCAGTGCCCAGGACAGAGAACATTTTACATTTATTTGTGCATAATTTTTGCGTTATTTACACAATCTTTTCAGTCCCACAGGGGATTTTTAGAAGCAATTGAAACAGAAAGAGATGGAAAAGTAAAACTTACCAGTGTTTTGAGGAAGCTCATGACTGAGCCCTGTCCTGCAGCTGCCTGGGGACTGTTCTCTACCTGTGTCCTCCCAGGGGCTGCAGCAGCCGGGCCCTGTTCACCTGCAGAGTCCTGCCCAAGCTCCTTTTGGGTGCACTCATCTATCTCCTAAAAAATAAAAGGGGACAGAGATTGCTCGGTGCCAGCTTGCCCGATTCCCTGTGGAATGCCAAAGTGACTTTTGTGACTTGCTCGGCGTCACAACAGCAATTCCAACCATTCCTGCCCAGCCCACGGCTCAGAACAATCCAGCATTTATCCCTCTCCTTGTCCTCTTTCCTCTGAGATTCAGCACTTGCTGCTGCCTGGGGAGTGTTGTTCTCAGCCACTACAAGCACAGGGCGAGTCCCAAACTCCACTTTTCTCTTTTCAAGGCTGAATTTGTGAAAAATGGGAGCAAATGCTGAGATTTTGGCCTTTGCCAGCTCCCTGTCAGAGTGCACCATACAAAGATTGCTTCTGATTCTCTGTTTTGCCACACCAGGAATAATTTTTATCTATCAAACACAAACGTGACACACATTAAAAGAAGGAAAAAGGCAACAAATCAAAGAAATTCCCCTTAGGCAGATGGAGCTGTCTCTTCTCTTCATGGAATTACAGTTCCCAGAGCCCCAAAACGTTTTCCAGTGCTCAAGCACTCACAAGTAGTGAGTAATATTAAGTAATATTAAGGTACTTGTTTTCAGTTTAGACACCTGCACAAGGATCTGGCTCTAAACAAACTGTTCTTTAACCAGTTTTGGAGAGTTTTGGCACCTCTCACACTGAACTTCCCTTCCATTTTGGCCATCTTTGCCTTGTGGCTGCACAGGAAAACTCAGCAAGGTGTTGTGCAGCAGAGAGTGACATCAAAGAGTGCCAGAGTGACATCAAAGAGCATCTAAGTGACATCAAACATTTTTTCCATCACCAACCCATTATAGCTCAGTGCTTTTTTTGGTGGGGAAAATTAGAATAAAAGCATTCTAAAGAACCTTTCCCTGTGCTGGGTGATTAAAATACCACAAAAATTTTATAGCATAAATTTCTTTATGTCACCAGTGGAAGGAATTGACTTTAAATGCTTTAAAGCTTCAGAGGGATGAGGAGAGCTGGGTGTGGGGTGGGCAGAGCCAAGTGAACACAGGAGTTAAAGTGAACACTGAAATACCAGCAGGGACTTGTGTGTAATTCCCCACGCAGCGAGGTTTCCAGCTGGCCCAGGAAGCAGCAGAGCAGCGCTGGAATGCTCAGCAGCTACTGGAGGGTGTCACACAGCACTTTGTGCAGCTGCCAGCCCCTGAGTGGCCCCAGAACAATCTGTCCCATGCAGGGCACGCGTGGCCACGCCAGCCCAGGGGTGCCATCCACACAGCTCTGCTGCTGTGCAAAAGGCTGGCTCTGCTCCAGGTGTTAAAGGGACAACTGAGGCAGGAGAAGGAGGAGCAGGCTGATGTGTTGCTAAACAGAACCAGCTTCCCAAGTGCTTGGTGTCATCAAACTCTTTGGAGCTGGATGCTATCAAGAAAAAGAAACAGATTTAATAACCTTTTTGACTTACAGACAAAAGGCTGGTTTTGGGGTGCATTTCAGGAGAGAGCTGTACACAGCTGTTTCCAGCACTACTGGCTGATCCAGGACATCTCCTTGACAAAGTCACACTGAAGAGAAATCCTGATTACTGGGGCCATCCCAAAATCCCCGAACAACCTCGCAGCTCGGGTGTGCCCCATTGGATGTGCCCATTTCAGAATACACTTTAACTCCTTTGTTCTGTTGGCACTGCCCACCCCACACCCAGCTCTCCTCATCCCTCTGAAGTTTCAAAGCATTTAAAGTCAATTCCTTCCAGTGGTGACATAAAGAAATCCATATTATAAAATTATTGTGGTATTTTAATCATCCAGGACACAGAAAGGTTCTTTAGAATGCTTTTATTCTAATTTTTGCCATTAAAAATGCCCCTGCCCTGCTCGAGGATCCCCCTCTGTGATTTCCAAGCCGAAGCTACAGAGAATCACTCAAGTCTGGCCTTGGAGAGGGGCTGTGATCCATCCTGTGCTCCCATGGGAATATTCCTGCAGGAGGAGCACAGGCTCTGGCCACCAGCACAGAAATCAGACACGGACAATGCACAGCCCTACACGATCACTTAACACAAAATCACCACAAAAGCCTCTGTGGCAGCTCCCTGCTCAAAGCCCTGGGGGTAAATAATGAAAGAGACCCCAGGAATAACAGAAGATCAGTATTAGGAGTTAATAGATGCCATGTAAATGTTCAATTCATGTCTTTGAGAAGCTAAATTTGGGGGTAATAAACACCTTAAATATACTGTAGTTTCAGTTCAGTCATCAGGGAAAAAAAACAACCCCAAACATATCAAAAGAATGTATTCCTGCCAGCACTTTTGTTTGCATGAATCATGGCTCAGTGAAACATTTCAGGCATATAATTTATCTTTTCTTTGGCTTACATAGTAAATGCTTCATGAATTCATGAATTCTGCCCTTGTTTTAATTATGCTGCGCTCTGAATGTAGTTTTGTAGACCACAAAAATAAAGAGTGGCTCAGCAAACACAGAATGTTTGTGCAGCTCTTAAGCTACAACTGTGGAGCCTCTCTCTTACTCACCAGCAACGCTGTTTGTTTTGTCTTGGCACTCAGTGCAGGGAAACTTTGCTTTTAGCATTTACAGATACTACAAGTCATAATCCACAAAGAGGAAAAAAAAAGAGAGAGAGAGAAAAAAGGAGCTGTTGGCATCGATATCTTGATTTTTAGTATGATTATTTGGTAACAGTTTGTAGTTACTAGAGTAACAGTAATTAAATTAGGCTTGGTCATTCTCCCATCCAACAGGAGACTGGGACTTCAGAGGGAACAGAAGGCAACTGTGGTGCAAGGCAGAGCAACAGCCTTTGTTTTAGGGATTGAGTTAAATTTGGAACACGTTGCAGTGTTTAGCTGATGTATTTTCCCCAGAAAAGGTGCTTAACTCCTCTCTGCCCCAACCATACATTCCTTTTAATATCTGAAGATCCAAAATTATAGCCCAAAAATTCAGGCTTAAGGTTAAAATTCCTCTCCCTGTGATCCAGATCTGTCATTTATTTACAGAGTAACCCCGATTTTGTGAGTCCTCAAAGATTTCCATTGTGCAGCTTTAAGCACACACCTAAGAGATGTAGGGGCATTTTTGATAACCAGACCTGTCCTCAGGAATGTTCCTGGGCTCAAAAATCTGCTGGGATGCTGCAGATACTCCCAGACAGACCCAGCACCAGCCACGGCTCAGCAGTGCCTGGAGTTTCCAGCTTATTCCCTCCAGGATGTGGATGGGTACAAGGGGGCTGGAGCAGAACTGTAAATCAGCAGGAATTATAAGAAATCCAAGTGTTATTGATATAATAAAGCTTGATTTGGATGAGCAGTGCTTCCCTGTTTGAGCTGGGAGAATGATTTCTATTCCTGTCCCTGATCATGCTCATACAGCACTGCCTCACCTGAGCTTTCGACTGCTCCCAGCAATGTCTAACTCTGAATTTTAGCTAAAACTGCTCCAAATTGTTCTTTCACACCATTCCTTCAGCAGCACCAGCTGGGACCTTCCTTCCCCACTCTGTAAATGAAAGCAGTGACGCTGCAGTGACAGAAAAATAAGAAACAAGGATTTGACATTTGGTGGGAAAAGAGAAAATTCCTGCAAGCTACGGGTAAGACTTGTGTGATAGTCAAAAATATCTGCAAGAATTCGGGGTGTTGAAAAGCTTCATTCTAAGAGGCTGAACACAGAAGTGCCAGTGTGCCCTGAACAGAGGATTCGTTTCAAATTATCCACCCTGTTCTGCTTAGGTGCTGAATGCCTTTATGGATTCTTTAAATGTGCATCCTGAACTGTCTGAAACACCAGCGATGGGAGCACTCCTGAAGGGCAGGTGTGAAAAATGAGACTGCTTTTTTCTTAAAAATGAAGCTCAGAAAAATATTACAATGGGTAAATTTATACAAAAAATCTTCAAATCTGAGAAGGTCGACAATACAGAAGACAAGGTAGGTCAAAATCAAAAGAATTTTGGGACAAATTGCAATGCTGGCAGTGTAAGCAGGGAGTATCTCATGAGTTAAGTTCAACACTACCCAAGGCATCAGTGAGCACAATCTTATTTGTAAGCCTGAATTGGCCAATACAAGCAGTTGTTATTAAAATGGTATTTACATATAGATTTTCCCCTCCCGCTTCTGCCATTGGACAGGGCTTCAATTTGATCCCCAGTTCCTGTATTCCACCTCTCTCGCAGAACTCAGAGTTACACCAGTATTCCCTTCCAGAGGATAGGCTTTTTTCTGTAGTTAATTCCCTGAACATTAATTTTATAATACCCTCGTTGACATCAGTCTCGGCAGGAAGTACAAAATCTAAACTCGTATTAACTTTCAGCTCCTTTGACCAGACTGCTCTTTCAGTTACGATCCATAGTTTCTTCTATCACATTCTCATCCTGGAAAATCATTTCCAATGAACCACTTTTCTTTGACTGAAACATCACAATAAGTGAGTACAGGAATTATTGCTGAATAATATTCCTTATTTTGATGAATAAGGTATCCAGCATCTATTGCTCGAAAAGTAGGACTGTTTTAAAAATGGCACAAAACACACCAAAGAACTCTTAGAAAACCATCCCGTGTCAAACTCCATGTCTTAAAGCACAAAAAACTGTTTTAGTTTCAGGTATTTTTGCTTTCATTTGCAGCTGGCAGCTGTTCCACCTGGCAGTTAGAGCTGTGTTGCCCAAACCTTTCAGAGAATTATAAATTAAACTGGAGGTTAGGATTTAGTCATGAGACAGAGCTTCACTCCTTGGCCACAGGTTCATCTTCCACACCTCTGTCTGGTGTTACCTGTGGTCGCTTTAAAGGCAACACTGATTCATTCCCAGCCCCACATGGAGTTATGCCACTCTGCCAACATTTCTGAGAGGTTTCATTAGTGAAAATGAAATTAATGGATATTTTATGGAAGCACTTGCCTCGTCCAGCGGGATCCCGTCGGGTGCGCTGGCCACGGTGTTCCCGTTGGGAACGTCTAAGCCCTGCCTTCCCTCCTGAGGGTCACCTCGTGTCCTTCCCTTGCCCTTCTCCGGCCTGAAGATCCTGTCGAAGAGCGTCACTGCTTTGGCCTTTGGGGCGGCCACATCGTGTCCCTCAGGTGTCCCCTCGAGCTCGACGTCCTGGAGCGGGGCCTGGCCCAGGTTTTTATGGCTTCCCTCCTGGGCCTCAGCCGCCCCAGGCCCCTCTGCGCCCTCACTGGGACCTTTGTTCAGCCCGGTGGCATCGGGAGCGGGCTGTGCGGGGGCTGGAGGCTGCGCTGGCTGCTCAGCACGCCCTGGCACAGCCCAGGGAAAGGCGAGCACGGAGCGGGGCCTGGCAGCCGGCTCGGCCCTCCTGGCAGCGCTCCCGCCCGCCCGGGCAGCGCCGCGCTGCTCCG